CATAATAATAATGCATGCGAGTTTCAGGCAAACCAAAGAAAGTAAACCTGAGTAAAGAAGATTTGTACCAGCCAATTATGCCTTTGTGCCCAAAGAATGCAAGTAGAAAAGCTGAACATGATGCTGAACCAGTGCCCAAACACACAAAATCAGCAAGAAGGTGGCTGAACCGACCCAAACAAGCGGCGGAACCAGCTGTTAAAGGCAGAAACAGCAAGAAAGTGACAAAACCAGGCTGAACCAATGCCCAAACACGCAGAACCAGCAAGAAAGGAGGTGAACCGATGCAAACAGGCTGTTGCACTGACTGTCAAGCATCGGAACCGGTTTAAACCAGAGGGAACCGGTCTGAAACAGGGTGAACTGGACCAGAACAAGGGTGAACCGGCAGGCTTAAACCGGCTGTGACTGAGTTGGGCTTAAATGGCAGACTGGGCTGGAGCAGTGGACTGGACTGTGCTTAAACGGACCAGTGAATACTGGGTTTGAATAGGCCCAAACAAACAGTGGGCTGGCAGACTGATGGTGCCCCGTTTAATGCCTCTGCACGTCGTCTTCTTCACGGCAGTGGCTAGGAAACCCTAGCATGGCAGCGGGCACAGAAACAGTAAGAACAGCAACTCACTTCGGCAGCGAAACCATGGCCCACAGCGATGATATTCTCCGACAAACCAGAGTCATGAAGCCACCAACGACAGTCAACAAAACCACCAACACAATCACACAACCACCAGCAATGGCCACCCTTAAGCCAAAACAACATAACAAAGACCCATTGTCTTCAACAAAACCACGACAACATCTACAGAATATTGGGTGCACAGATGAATTCAGTGCAACTCCATCACCAACCAATTGTGGGATGCACGGGAACAGGACACAGTGGCAAAACTAAATAAAGGGAAAAGGCAAAAAAAAGGAAAAGAAAATAAAAGCAAGGAAAAGGAAGAAGAAAAGGTGATTAATGGCAGATTGACCTTGGACCTAATTGTTTTGATAGCATGTTAAGTTTAGAATAGAGACAGACTTAACACAATAAATGTTGGATAAGAAATCCACCCAAAAGAGTAGAAAATAAAAATATCAAAGTCAAATAACTTTCCAATTGTGTTTGTTAAGTTTAGAATAGAGACAAACTCAACTCAATATGAGACAGGCAAAGAGAGGACGTACTTTACCTCTCACTATCAACTTGTAATTATAGTTACCCAATAAACATTCAAAAGACAAGTATATCCTCTGTGTGATATACATATGACAACCATATTAAATCCTAACAATATTATAGTAATATAGTAATACTCTCTACAATGCTGAAGAGCTGATAAAGAAGCATCACAAAACTCACTAGAGATCGAAGCCCAAAGAGACACCAAAACTACACTTTGCCCATAGCAACTCTCTTTCCTGCTCTTTCCCTTCAAAAATTATGTGGTTCCTCCCCATCCACACCACCACAAAATGGCCAAAATTGTACATCTCAAACGTTTGAGTTTTTTTCCCACACTCAGAACCATCAGAACACATCACAAATAAATACACTCAATCGGGAGGTATGCACCAAATCTGCCAATGTAATGATGAACGAACAAATGATCAAAACTTCGACAACATTCCTTACACAAAGCACACTAATGAGGAGAAAGATAAATGTTAAGCCTTCTCCACAAGTTCTCACATTACCGAGAGCAATCGTCCAAAAAAGTACCCGCACCTAAATAAGCCTTCTAGCCTCACAAATCATCAAGTGAGGTTCGGAGGTAGAATAGTTAGGAACATCAAAACAAACATGAAAATAGGAACTACAAGAGAAAATTTTAGAGGATTTAAGAGACCCAATCTTTTAACTCTAATTGATTAGTCCAAAGAATCTGAATCAAGAGAAAGGAAGAATGTAACATCCCATTCTGATAAAGTAAAATTAATTATCAAAATACATAATGTTAGGGTCTCTTTGTGATTATCATAGAAGTCAATTGACATTTAATTGAGTCAAATCACTATTATGATAAACATTAGAATTGTATTTGGGGGTAAAAGAAATTATGGAAAGATAAAGGAACCTAAATGCAATGAGTTAACTAAAATGGTGAGTCCTGGGCCAGCTGGCACGGTAAAGTGCTCTTGGGAAAGTAATCTTTGTGTTATATATATACACACATAGCAAATTAAAAAAAGAGCAAAACAAAATAGAAATTAAAAATGGTGGACAAATGTCCACCGAAGGTGTACGTGAGTCATGGGTGGGTGGTGTGTCAAAAAGGAGGTGTTTTGTTTAGGAGAAAATTATATAAGATGGGTGAAGAGTGATATTCGAGTAAAGAGGCAATGAAAGGAAAAGCCAAAACGATAAAATAAGAAGAAAAATAGAAAGAAAAAAATGAAGGTTTCAAGCCGACATGGAAAGATGAAATGGATTATAATCCAGATCAAATTCAAGTCCGATTGGATTATTCTATGATTCCTATTCACCTGCGTCATTCGCCGGTGTCGATCTCAAATTATGCAAGTGCGGTTATTCACGATATACTCCTAATGATTATCCCTAACTTGTATTTCATTTGATTATTTGTGACTCGTATTTCAATTGATTGTTCAGTTATTATTCAAATTCAATTGATTGATCTATTGAATTTTTACACTCCAAATGAAACTTTGTGAGTATGCTATATGGGTCCGAGCCGGCAAACTCAAATCCAATATAGGTCCGAGCAGGCAAACTCAAATCTAATATAGGTCTGAGCCAGCGAACTCAAATTCGGTATAGATCCAAACCAGCGGAATCAAACCAGAAAGGTCAAAGTTGTTGATGACCTAATTGATGTTTATGTCATCTTTTGAAGTAATTGATATTCGATTGTTTGTGCTCTTGTCGTATTGAGGATTTATTTTGCTTACTTGGCCTTCCTAGCTCACTGTACCATTGCAAAAATGTGTAACCTCCCAAATTATATAATAACATGCATTTCCATATAATAGGCAAAAGAATGACAAATCTTCGAAAAGCAATCCATATGAAAGCCCATAGATGGAAAAAAAGATAAACATAGATGAAAGAAACACCACAAAACAAGACAAAAATTGGGGCAAGGGAAACATAGGCCAACCATAGGAAATTATGAAACTTGGAGCTTGTAAAATGGGAAAAGAATCATCTAAAGTGAGGAACATCGTAACAAGAAAGGTAGTACAATAAAGAGGAAGTTACAGGGTCGTTGGACCCAAAACAAAATATAATTGTACACAAATAAGCCTATGATCTCCAAGATAAGCCACCAGCGAAATAAATGAAAAGAGAAGAGAAAGAAGAAATCATAGGAAAAATCAGGAGGAATAAGCAGTAAGCTATAGTTTTTTCATCCCAAGCAAGTGCTTGCTAAACTGCATATGTCAGGAGCCTCCACATGACATTGATGACAAGCCATCCAAAAATTAGTTATTAATAGTGAATAATTCTCCTTACGAACGGAAAGCGAAAGGGAAAAGAACCTCCATAAACTAAGCACAAGAGCATTAAGTTAGGTTGTCAATACTCAATAGGTTCTAAGTCGTGTAGGTCGTGAACCCATGCCCAACTTGTTTATAATGTATAGCTGAGTTCGTGCATTTAACCGAGTGCATACTATGAGTCAGGTCTGGCGCGTTGACCCATTGGACAATCGTGTTAAGAAAAGTCAGCCCTAATTATACATGCGGTTCGTGATACAGAAAAATAAGGTGACGCACAATAATAGAGTTGCCAGCTTTTAGTACTGAGACTACTGAAAAATATTATCGGAGGTCGTTCTATCAGGTTTTAAGTCATGGAGGATATGAATTTGCTACCACTTTGTTCAGAGGAAGGAAATTGGGAGAAAAGAAAGAGGTAAGGAAATTACAAATCATTTCATTAAGCGTCGACAAAAGAGAAAAAGTAAAAGGATTTGATGCCCCAATCGACCATTTTCTCTTTCCTCCCAAAAGTGGTAAGATTTGGATGGGGGAAAAGAAGTACTAATTACACATTTGACCCGAAGCTTTACCAGAAGTGAAATCTAACTTCCCTTTCATATTAACAAAGAAATAAAAAACTTTTGTATCTTATCTTTTCTACAAACAAAATAATAGCTTTTGCGAGAAGTGAATTCTTATCTTACCTATCCCACCAAAAGAGAAACAATCTTTGTGTTTCTTTCCTTGTCAACTCCCAAACAAGGAAAGGATTGTCAAATTCTTTTCCTTTCTGTTCTCTCATAAAATATAGAGAACACCATCTTCCCTCTTCTCTATTCCTTCTCTCACCATAGAAAAATGTTTTCTTATCTTTTCACTTCTCTCCTACCCTTCAAAATGTAGCATAAGAGATATTGTGGTGATATATCTCACGCTCACCTTCATTACTTTCCCTTTATAAATTGCTCCACTCCTCTCGCCGGGAGAACAACACCCGGGTAGTTGCTAAGGAATACTAACTCTAGCATCCTTAGCTGGAGTAGATTTTTCAACTGCTCTACCAAACTATGACACAAGCTGTTTCCCTCCATAACACTAAAAGGACAACAAGAATCATGGACACATTGCAAGAGGACCAATCCATGTGAAACACTTATGGAATTCAGACTAGAAACTTGTTTATGATGCTGCATGGCAGAAAGTACTATCAGGGGCATGAAGTTTTTTAGGTAAGAAATAACGCCATCCATTCTTAAGGAATACATTTTAAGCCCTCAACACCTCCCCCCCCCCTCCGGGGAGCCGGGGGGGCAGGCCTTTAATTTCCTTCCCTACAGACCTTTCAGCCAGTTAATGTTTCTTTAGAACTTCTGATCAGCCACTTTGAAAAAAACTTCCAAGTATGGGTATCCAACACCATTAAGCATCAACATATATATAAGTTCTTTGCTAAAATATCAACAATAATCCAGCAAATTGGATAGCAATATGATATTTCAAACATTCGACTCAGTGTGGCTCAAATACCTATTTTAAGGAGATCCAAAGACAGTACAAGTAAATGCAAGTCACACATCACTAGCTGGTACAACATCTTCAGCTCTCTTTACTCCTATTCAAACAATGATATTATTATCCTAACGATAAGGAGACAAGAAAATAAGGTTTACATTACCATGTTTTACCCATTTCTGCTTTTTTAAACAAAAAGAACAGCAACACAACCGTACTATGGCAATATTTTTTTTTTTTTTAAGGGAAAGGGAGGAGAAGGGAAGGGGGCTTGAACCCTTGACCTCAAGAAGGCAAAACCTTCACAAGGCAAGGAGTACCACTGGACCAAAGGCCCGTTAAAAAAAATTGTAGACATTTGACCACTAAGAATTTCAACACAATGGCTCAAACCTAAACAGCATAATTGCATTGAGTCAAGAAAGAAAAATTATGGGAACTCAGCGAGCACTAATTTTTCCGAGAAGGAAGAATAATTTTACTCATAATAGGAGAAAAAGTGGTAAAAAAACCATGGACCAGTTGTCCAACCCAATCATGGGTAACAACAAAGTCAGCAAGAATCAATAAACCTTCCATAATCACATTTTGAACAAACCCTATCAGATAATTGAACTTACCTGAGGGTGCAACAGGTGGATCATCAACCAAATTGGTAGCTGGGATGGGGATATCCTCTAGGCCTCCAGAAATGTCCGTGCACACCAACCTTGTCAGTAATAAAAAAAAATTAAGGTAACACTTTAAACTAATTACTAAAAATTAATAACTCCAATTACAAAACAGTTCTCATCGTACCCGCGTACTTCAGAAATGGAGTTGGGAATACGACCTCGAGCAAAATGAACCTGTTATAGAGGCCAAAAAAATTGATAGAAGCTTCGATAAAAAGGATGGTTTGGTTGTGGATCATAGAAACCCAGCCAGAGTTTAAAGACATCCAACATGTGCTTAAATATTACTAATATTCGAACACCTATGAGGATTGAAGTATATAACAGCAAGTCCAACTATAAACCAACAAGTACCAGTAAGGAAAGAAATGGTCGAGAAAGCAGCCAAAATATGGTAGATATTTAATATAAGGGTGCACTCAGGCAGTTGGCCAGGTTGGGAAGTCAACTACGAGGATTGAAGTATATACCAGCAAGTCCAACTATGAACCAACGACTACCAGAAAGGAAAAAAAATGGTTGAAAAAGAAGCCAAGAAAAGAGAAGAAAGAAAGAAAAGAAAAGTAAAAGAGAGAAGAAACAAAAGGGATCAAATTTCTAAATAATATTCAAAAACTAGAACCAAATTTCAAATCCATGGCTCTGATGCCCCTAGAATTGCAGAAGCTGTATTTAGGTTTGTAAGAAAAGGAGAAGTATAGGAAAAGAGAAGATGAGAAAGGGAATAATTTGTCGACTATATTGCCCTACACTCTCGTATTTATAATAAACTGATATTATGAGTAATTACATTATTACCCTACACTACTAATGATATAAAATAAGAACTCTAACAATATCTATGCATGCTTACAAAACCTGGTCCAACCCAGCCGGTCAGCCAACAAACCGGTGCCTAGGCAAGGCTGGGTTGTTATTTGGACCGTCTAAGTATAAAACTCGGTTATTACCCGTATGTCTAGCTGGTGTTTTTACTCGACCCACGTAAACTAGGTGATTCTGACCAAATTGGAAGGGTTCCTTATATAAAAACCAAAAGCTTTAGCCCTAAAATCAGATCAGACTCCTTTCCACCATCTTCGTCTCTCTCGATATCCTCTTCTTTGCATCTCCTCTTATCACCATCGCTTCTATCAAATCAACTCTTAGCCACTCTTCTCTCTCTCATTGTTGCACACAGAGAGCACCATTCCGTCGCATGGAACAAGACACCATCAAGTAATTCCTCATCTGTCAATCACTCTCACTTTATCATTTTCATCTCTCTATGTATGTGCTATAAATTCCCAAGTGATTGAATTTGGATTTGTTTAGTTTAACTAACTAACTGCATAATCATTTAAGTGCAATGTAGGTGCAATTGCTTAGTATAAATTTGGAATTGTTTAAAATACACTAACCAACAAACCAACACTCAGTGCCTCAGTAACACATTGTTTCCCTCCCTTTCTTGTACAATTGAGTCTTCTCTTCACCGTCACTACCATCACCTCAATGGAATCTAAAATCGTGCTCCAGTGCATTAGCTATGTTCTTCAAGTTCAAAACTTTATAATTTTGATCATGTGATTCTACGTTTTGAATGATAATAGTAATTTTCATAATAATCATAATTTTTAGTATAATTAATTTTACTATTTTTTATTTCTTAACGTATATCCGGTCTGACAAGTTTATTTCGTGGCGACCTAATTTAATGTATTATACCTGTTTCACTTTTACCAAGACAAACAAGCTGTAATTTTCATGACCTACCTACACAATTTTTTTCCAACAAATGCCTCTTTTAACTCTTATCCTCTCTGAGCTCTTACCCTCCGTGATCTTAGTTTTCTTAGATTCTCTCTGTCTATTCGTCCGTCTTCAATTAATTATCTCTATTGAGTTTTTCATACATTGATTTTTGTTAGAAATTTGGTCCTTTTTGAAGATTGTCCCAGTCTTCCTACCCTCTATGATCAATTCGTAAGTTTTGTAGCGATGCATAAATTTTGAGGCTCAAGCTTGTGTTTAGATTTAGTTTTCTTTGTGAAAGATATGTGAAATCTATGATTTTTGGGGATTTTTTTCCTCAAGATTAGTGTTTAAAAACTTGAGATTTGTGCATTTGAAATTTGAAATTTGGGGATTTGGGATTTTTTCTGGAGCTTGTTTTTTGCTCGAGCTTGGACTGAGCTGAGCTTGAACAATATTTGGAGCTCGGTATCCAAGATCAAACTGAGCTTATGCAGCCCTTCAAAAATCGAGCCGAGCCTAAGCATACCGAGCATTGGAAGGCTCGGATCAATTAACACCCTAACCATGTTCCAATGCAAGAGAAGACATTGCTGACAAGCCATAAGTTGTCAGGGGTGTATAGGGGTGTATAACTTCAAGATCTATAAGTACTTGTTTTTTTAGCCAAGTGAATGACATATACCAAAAATTATATATCAAAAGACAGAGAGTCTCATAAAAGAGAGAAAAATCCAGAATAGTGAAATAGAGAGATGCATGTGAGTGAAAGAGACAAGGAAGGGAATGAGAGAGATATGCATCCAAAAGAGTGAGTGAGAAAAAGATATACGTCTGAGAGAAGTGTGAGAACGGCAAAATGCCCTAATCTCCATTAAATTTTTTACATATATCTTAAATAACAAGTTGAATTTGGGTTAAACTCGATTTAACCAATAAAGGTCAAGGTCAGGTTGAGGTCAACCTGACATCCCAACTCAAGTATTGCCCAAATTCGTATTAGGTTGACATTTTTTTATCCAAGCCCAAATCAAGTATCATTGGCCAAGTGTTTACTTTTTGGTTTAGTTTTGGGTTCACCCGTCCAAGTTACACCCAAATTTAATAAATGAAAAAATATACAAAAAAAAAAGATAGTATAAAAAGCAATTAAGTATGAAAGAATATCTCCGCACAATTGAAATTTGTAGTGAAAAAAAATTCCAATATTATATGATGAAACTTCAAGATTACAAAAATAAATAATGTCGAATTAAGGGTTTGATAAGATTACTTGATAACATGATTACTCTCATCATAGAATAAAAGACTCCTAAGCTATCAATAAATAGTTATTAGTAGTCATAAACGCATTTACATAATAAACTTCGTGTAGGATCGGAGGGGTGAAAGAAAGAGAATGAAAACAAAGGTAGAAAGAGAGAAAAAGTGGCGAAACGGGAAGAAAGGAAGAGCCAAAGAGATAATTCAAATGGTCAAATAAAGCAACATTGCTCCTGAGCTAAAACCAAAACCAAAGCCTTCCTCATAAGGAACCTCGATTTGTAGGCACTCTCACATAAACTAAACTAACAATTCACCAAAAAGGATAAATGGTCCTTGTCAAGAATATTTACTAGACCTATTGCAGAAGTACTTATGCCACTTGTAAAAGGAAAAGGCTGACCTTTCAGAGAAACCACGGGATCCTTAGCCCAGCAACTGTGAAGCACAAACACGTTAAAATAGATCACGTACCAGTGTCAAACACGTTTGGTATATAGACATGTCCGGACATGTTCCACACACTTGTTGGACACGCCCCAAAACATGTCCAAATATTTTGTTCTTTTTTTATACTTTGGACACGTTTGGGACTCGTTGAGAGGAGTCCGGATACGTTTCTCACAATTTTACACCGATTTGTAATCTATTGTAAGTCTTCACCGTTGTTGGTTTTCTACAAAATCCCATGAATTTGATGCCCTACATGTAGCCAACAATAATAAATGAAGGTCATGACCCATCACTTTCAGAATTGTCGAGGAGATTCGTAGGAGGATTCGAAGCAAACTTATTTTGCAATAACCTTGACGCACATGCGCGCAAGAGATAGAAATCAAAAACGGAAAAGAGGAGTTATTTGGTAAAAAAAACCAGCGGTTAATAAATTTTGTCACATCACTTTACACGCCACATGTTGATGCAGGATTGATTCCTCCAGATTTCACCTTATCTAGCTTATCTAGATTGTTCCGTATGTGGACAGCTTGAATAAGAGTATTCCGACTTTCGTTGAGTCCAATTAACTACAGTTTATTTTTAAGACCTCCACTTTTGGGCTTAGTGCACCAATTTTATATTTAATTAACATGTATGTGGGCCAGAATGGGCATTCAATAGTCCAAATGTCAAATAAAATATGTATTTGGCCCAAGAATCAAAATTTTGTTTCGGTACATTGTTTCGGTCACTTAGAAAACGGAAACATTTTAACGTGTTTCGAAAACATTTTCACTCGTTTTGGAAACAATGAAAAAAAATAAAAAATTTAAGAATTATTTTTTCAAAACACCGGTCGAAATATATCAAAATATCTTGCAATATATTGAAATATTCCGAAACAATTGTACAAATGCATTACAACATTATAAAATACCTCTAAATATTACGGAACACCTCAAAGTATTAGAATTTTGATTTCATCATTAATTCGTTTTGATCTCCTTGGAAACAAAAATATTTCAGATGTTTCGAAACGAAATTTTGATCCTTGATTAGGCCAAATTAATAAATTCTTTGATATAAAAAAATATAAATAATTATTTTATTCAACATGTCCATGACATAGTTGTGTCCTACTTTTTAGAAAAACATTGTGTCCGTATATCTGTATCATGTCATATCTATATCTCGTGTTTGTATCCGTGTCTGTGCTTCTTAGCCCAGCTGCCGTAACCTAAGGAAGAACATCAGATGTCCAAGCTTACTAAAGGCCAAGGGGTATGCAGTCTTTTTCCTTAATTAGAAGGGGTCAGGGATATGGGCTTGGTTTGGGGGAAAAAGCACTCAAAAAAGAAATTGTTTTATGAAAGGATAGAAAACCTGGTTCGTGGTCAGTAGAGGCTGCCCTTCAAGCCGCTTTAGTCGGAACTTATATACAGTGAACCCAGAAACACCTTTCTCTGCCCAGTAATTAACAACCTGCAAAATCAATGGACCACAGACTCTATATTACCAGCAAATGCATGCAAACCACAAAAAAAGGCCACTTTTTAGAGAAACCAGCAAAGAAAATTCGTCATGCAGTATTACACAGATACGAAAAAGAAACAAATTAAAACCACATAAGAAAAGAGTAATAAATGCCTATCTGAGAAATAAAAAACTGGTTCCAGCATAAGCAGTATAAATTGAAGGACCCGCAAGAACCCAAAAAATAGGCAGGATAGTTAAGTGATTCATGCAACCGGTGTAAGTGCAAGATTCCAAAACGTTCAGTCACCCCAACTGTCATGATTTAGCTTCTTGTCATGATTGTAAACAAACACCATTTAGGCCCCTTACTGCACTTACGCCTCTAACTATTAACATCACTCTGCAGAAAAAAAGTAACTCTTTGAGTTATTCAATGAAGAAGCAACGAGTTTCAATGGATGCGGAATAATGCACATTATTCAGTTGTGTCAACATCAACTAAAGAGAACGCGTTGGATGGTTATTGTGTTGGAGGATAATGGTTTGATGATTGAGTCTTCAAATGGAGCAGATTTCAGGGGGAAAACCCCTCGTCATGTGTAATTTGAATTTTCTGTCACAAATTATTATCAGGTCAACACAGAGATTGCATGCCAACGCGTTCTCTTTAGTTGATGTTGACACAAAAGGAATAATGTTGCTTCTTCATTGAATAACCCAACTCGTGTGGGCTTGTGGCAAGAACTGATGTTAATAGTTATTATCACCTGTGCAGTAAGGTTCACCAAGTATGTTTGTGAAATTTGGAGAAGCCGTGTCCAAGTTCTGAAAACCATTTCTAATTTGGTCCAAATCGCAAAGTGAAGAAGATAGTCATTACCCGATCCACAAACAAGCGTGGAGGCACAAAATGAACAACGGAGGAAAAACATTGCTAGGCCAATAAGATTTAAGATCAGCAGTGACGCCCTTTTTTTTGGGGGACAGATCAGCAGTGACATTGGGAATGAGATATTTGGTCCAACCCCAAAGTAAGGAAACCACTTTAAGCTTTTTAATGAACAAAGTAACGAGGATCATCTTGTTGTAAAGATACTTGTCAGGGAACGAACTTAATCTTGAAGGATGTTACATAAGACAAGCATAAGTTTGCCATCATAATGCAAACGAAATATAAGACATAACGGGAATGTTTTTGAGGAAAAAAAAAAGGAAACTCCTTGGGTATGTTCCAGATAGTTACCTTGTACAAGCCATCATATGTGTAAACTTTGCCCACATAACTATTTGCACACTTGTGGCCACGAACAACTCTAACAGGCACACATTGCTCCATACAGTTCTGTAATTATATATAAAAACTGTTGAAATGCCACATTAATATTGTCACACATAAATCAACCCCAACATAAAAATAAATAATCTCCATAGTGTGTAACCAGGCTCTGGCCTAACATGTATAGGTATAGAGAAGAGACTCCGAACCCCAAGGCATCATGCTTATACAAAGTTGCAGACCTTATGAGCATAAACAACGAGCAAGAATGCAAGATGGCAAAGAAGACTCCATAAAAATGTCATCAATAAGTTAGGATAAAACTTTATATGAGTTGGCTTTTGAAAAGTTATTAAAACATTAGAATGATAATACGAGTTTAAGGCTCAAAGTTAAATTGCACGAGTATATCTCAAGAAAATACAGGCACTGCAACCTCCCACGCAAATAAAGATTAAATAGAATTAGGTCAACCTCCCAAAGTTTGCTGGCAGAACTTTTTAGTGCTTGTTCCACATCTGTATTCAGAGCCTTTAAACCAGTATATGCATCTTATGGGCCTCTTCACTCACCGCCAATTAGTTTTGACATGGATACATTAGCATAATATAAAAGATGGGCTTCAGGAAGTTGTGGGAAAGTTTCTCAGTTTGAATGTGATTGATTTGGTATTTTGTTACCTTTTTTAGTTTTTAGCACCCAGTTATGGCTTTGGTTTTGTCTTTTAGTAGTTCTGTCTGTTGGGGTTGTACATGTGCATGCGTGGTATTGTTAGATCTTGTTCCTTTTGGAACACTTGCAGCCCTACTCATATACAGTTCATTTTGAATAGGATGTTTCAATAAATTCAACTCAAAATTTTAAACTGGCTATATATGTTTGTGAACTCATATGTTGTACTAAAGGCCATAACATTTGTCGGGCCAGCAAGCCTGCATTTGTGAACTCAACCAATATCCTTCCTAGGTTGCACCTCATTCTCTCAGGAAATCAACTTATCCTTTTATTAGAATGGAAACTGAAGTAACTCGAAATCCATACAAGGTTTTAGATACTAACCAAAGAGCCACTACAATTTACTATTATTGCTTTGTGTCACGAACTGTCCGACACGAGGAATATTCAACCAATAGTTAAGACATGGTCACATGGGCAACAAGAAACCTATCCCCGTTCAGCAAATAAGAAATAACATGAACATGTAGGACAATGTCATAATGTTGCAGCACAATATGGAAACAACATGAAGGAAATAGTCGAAAGAAATAAAATATATACATACTTTCAGTCCCAAATTACCACGTTTCATCACTTGATCCTGTATTTGACGCTTATTACCACGTAAATTATTTCCACCCTGACCGGTATAAACAACATCCTCACAATTATCCAGATCATCCTCATACTGCCCTGACAAAATAATTGATGTTGCAAGGGGAAATGTGTAGCAAGCATATTCCTGCGATGATCCAGGACAAGGGGACAAAAGAAAGAAAAAAGAAAACTTACATTGATTTTTCATTAATGCAACAAGATAAGATGTTTGAGTTAAGATATAGAAAAGAAATTGACAAGGAGATTAACCCTCAAAAAAAGAACTCCCTTGTATAACACAGTTTCTGATTTATGATAAACAGCGACAATGCCACATTGATGATGCAACAAATATAGCGGTACAACGTGCAAATAAAAAAACAAAAAGAAGCTTGCTACAATTAAAATACAGAACCTTCAAGTATGCATGACATAACATACGAGTAGCAGATTTGCTCAAGTAACATACTAAATGCCAAAAACTACTCGTTTGCTTATTCATCTACTAGGATACTTTATTGTACTTTAGGGAAAGATGAAGCAAATTATTCATTAGTTTTTTCAGCAGATCAATGCATTAGACTTTTGATGCACACTCTTCATAGTCGCATCCCAAGCATCCATTGAATTTATGCTAAGCTGTAACAAAACAAGCAAAATGCACTAAAAGAGGCAACCCATGCAGACGCAGAGTATACAAGACCAAAGAATGCTCGGCTCCACTCAAGAACTCGAATCACCAATAAAACATACAAAATAGTACAATGGATAAGAGAGCATACAAGAAATAAAAACAATTATAACACCCAATTTAGTCCCCATTGTTGGGGGCCTAAGAGGGGTAAATCGGTGAAGGCCTAACCATTGGCATTACGTGCGCAAAGCAGCTATGCTAATGTTTGAACTCACAACCACAAGGTTGTCTAATGACTGAACCAGTGGCCCCCTTTTAACTAGTAAAGGGCAGAAATACAATATGTAAAGAGTATAACTTCAAACTCCATGCTTTGCAAGAATATGGATCCTTTTTCAAAAGAAAACACCCAATACACAGCCAAGAAAATATATCCCAACCCCCCACCCCCAAAAAAACACACAAAAAAAAAAACAGTAAACAAATAAAGAATCTCTAGCTATTGTAGAAAAAAAAAATCAAGATTTGGTAGATGTTTCCCCACTTCTGCACACAAATAATGCCCCTCCTTTCCCTTCAATCTTGAGGCCAATATCACTTGAAAATTAGTGTCTAAATGAGAAAAGTTATAAGGGCACATTTTAACACTCCAAATGCCTTTCAGTGGGAACCTAGACACATCATCAACACATAAAAGAATCTCACTCCAAACTTGCCACTACTGTTTGCTGCCCTTCCACCGCAAAGTATAGCACCCACCCACCAAATGGGATCACCATACAACATCCCAAAATGGATCCATTGACTCTAACTCCCAATCATGTTTATCCCACATGGATCAAACTTCTAAATCACCTTCCTCTTTGCAAGTCTATCATAATGTGCTATGGATGCCTTGTTATCAAAAGCTAAAGGATCAAGAACACATTTTGCATAGGAACATCATACATTGGACAAAAAAGCACACCCTTTGATCATTCCATGCGTAATAGCCCACATATGTAGAGAACTTCTAAAAAGGCCATCCTCTAATCACCTTCCACAGCCCCACCACCAAAAAACCTTCCAACATCTCTCAAAATCCAACCATTTTCCTACTCCATAAATAATCCATGCGAACTTCTCTACACATGTGAAGGAAAACAATCCTCAATCAACTACATGAACTTGAAAGTATACAGCCAAATATCTCACAAAATCTCTTAGAGCTTCTCAGTTAAGTTGTGAAGCCATTAGAGTTTTGAGAGAAAGAAAGAATATTATTAGGATTGAGGAGTTTGTTAGGTTACATAGCTACAACCAGTTTACATATATATATATATATACAAAAAATAATAAGATGCCCTTACTCTAGAAATAATACATAACGTAACACTCCCCCTCGAGATGGTGCATAGATTGAGATGAAAAACCTTAAAACAATGGCTAACTGATTCTCTAACTTCACAAAAGGCATGCAAATCAAGCCCTTGTTTCGCTTCCCTATAATGAAGTGTCGATTAATTTCAACATGCTTAGTTCTGTCGTGTTAAATTGTGGATTATAAGCAATGTTAATAGTAGCCTTATCACAATATAGTCTCATAGGTCCATCGTCATAAATTCTCAACTCTTCCGTTAATGTTTGGAGCCACATAAGCTCACTGACTCCATTGTTCATTGCTCTATATTCAACCATTGTACTAGTCTTGATTCACTATGTGACAAGAATTTCCCTATCAAGATACAATAACCAAAAGTAGATCAACTATCATTCACTGCACTTGTCCACGCTGCATCATTAAATGCTTTCAACGTTAAGTGACCATTATTGGAGGACAAGTTCTCTTTTCCTAAAGTTGACATGAGATACCTCAATATGAGATAAGCCGCTCAAGATGAGGAGTTTGACAATCATGCATGACTAGACTAACAACACTTAATATCTGACCGAGTATATGAGAGATGTATTAATCTCCCCACCAACCTTTGATATGTCTCCTTTTCTACTACCTCACCAACACTACTATGCAGTTGATGGTTGACTTCAATAGAAGAATCTATAGGTTTGCATCTCAACATCCCCGTCTCTTTAAAAAGGTCAAGAACACACTTTTCTGGGAGATAAAAATGTCTTTATCTAATCTGACAACCTCAATCCTAAAGAAATACCTCAGTGAACTCAAGTCTTTAATTTCAAACTCCTTAACCAACTGAGTTTTCAATTTGGTAACTTCATGCTCATCATTTTTAGTTATCACTATCTCATCCACATATACAATGATAACTATAATCCGATCAACATGGTATGATCGGCATAACTCTGTTTAAATCCAAATTTTAGCAAAACTGTAAAGGACCTATCAAACTAAGCTCTGGGAGATTACTTTAACCTATAAAGAGAGTTCTTTAGCTTACACCCTTTCCTTTCAGTTATCTAAGATGAAAACCTTAGAGGAATCTCCATGTACATCTCCTCCTCCAAATTCTCATGAAGAAAGGCATTGTTCACTTCAACCAACAACAAACTCCACCCCAAATTAGTTGCACAAAAGATAAGAGTACATATGGAATTCATCTTTGTTACAGGAGTAAAAGTCTCTTGATAATCAAAGAGCACTTATGGAATTCATCTTTGTTACAGTATCAAAAGTCTCTTGATAATCAATATCATATGTCTGAGTAATCTCTTAGCAACCAGCCTGGCTTTGTACCTCTTGAACACTCCATCAGCTTGTTATTTGACAGTGAACAATCATTTGTAAACCTGAGAAATAGACACAAAAAACAAGGAACAAACAAAAGTACGATAAGATGAAAACAAAAAATCACAAGAAACAAAGTTAGAGATGGATGTTGAGTAAAAGCTTGAACACCCTTGTTGATGGTAATAAGAAGCTCAGAGTCTTCAACAACTAGATTATGCATTGCGGGAGTAACACCTAGAGGTTCATTACCTAAAAAACCAATGGAGGACGGAACTGGAATTGAGGAATTCAATTGATTTGGTGGCACATGGGTAATCCGTATTTTTTGACATCGAGAATAAGTCTTCATATTATCCTTGTCAAGGTGAATGACATGTGAACCATTGATATCACTTTTTTTCTCCATAAGATGTTAATCTCCCCCCTTCAAAAAAAAAAAAAACTAACGTTCAAACTTCCACTGAACAAGCATTTGAAGAAGAAGATTGTGATAAAATATCTATTCCTATAGAGTGGTATTCTCCCCTTAAAGTGATGGTTGGGGGGTAGAGACGAATTACTCAGATTCACAAAAAGTAACATCTTATGTTAACATACATTTTTTAAGATTATGGATGATAGCATTTATATCTCTTTTATGTGGCAAAATTACCAACAAAGATACATCGCAAAGCCCTAGGATCAAATTCCCCTAAAGGGTCTGTAGTCATGGACAAAACAAATACAACTAAAAACTTTAAGAAGAAGGAAAGAAATAAAAGGAATGGATGAAGACCAAAAATACACTCAATGGGTGACAAAATTAAAGAACACTCGAAGGTAGGCAATTAATAAGATAAGTTGCATTAAGAACGATCTCCCCCTAAAATGATTAAGAAACATTCCTAGTAAAAAATAGTGAACAAGCAACCTCAAGAAGATGGCTGTTTTTTCGCTCGGCAACACCATTTTGTTCAAGGGTACTTACACAAGTAATCTGATACAAAATGTCATTCTCATTCAAGTAAGAACGAAATTCTCCATCAATATACTCAGTTCCACAGTCTCTTTGAAGAATTTTGATTTTAGTATCAAACTTAGTACTCACCATTTTATGAAGGCATGAGAAACTTCACTTTTAATGCGTAGTAGGTAAACTCAAGTACGACGAGAATAATAATCGATAAAGGTGACAAACCAACGATAACCATGACCCCACACATTAGAATGAATAATGACAAAAATAGCAGTGCTTTTATTATTAGTACTTGAATAAAATGAACGTTTATGCTTGGCAAATTCACAAGCATCACAAATAAAAAAATCCTTCTACACTGTTTCACTAGATTAGGAAAAAGATGTTTGCTCTAAGACACCAAATAAGGGATGCGCCAAACTTTTATGCCAGTAATGTAACAGTTATATTGAGTAAAAATTTCAGCATCCAAAAGATGCAGACCACCATGTGCTCTACCACTACCAATCGTTTTCCCCGATTTCAGTTCTTGAAAGATACAATGAGTAAGAAAAAAGGTTACTAGATAAATGAAGGATTTTGTAATACGAGTAACAGGTAATAAACTAATGGAGAGATTTGGGACACAGAGAACAGAGGAAAGATATAAGGTAGATGAGCAATTAATTGAATCTTTCCCAGAAATGGATGATAAAAATCCATCTACCGCTTTGACTTTATTCCTACCAGAACATATAGAGTATGAAGAAAAATAATAAAAGAGCTTGTCATGTGGTCCGTGGCTCCAAAATTTATTATCCAAAGAGTGTATAAGAATCAGTGTTACCAGAATTTACTAAATCCCTGACAACCCATGATTTGGGTACATTGATCCCAAACAGAGTGGGTTCGTGATCTAGATCACCAATATATATAATCTCGAATTATACACGTAGCACAAATATAAAATACATATTAATTAACTACGTCTATATAGATTTATAATTATATATTATTTTAAATAATAGAAATCTAGCACAAATATAAGATAAATGGTAACTGACTTAGTGTTTATAGATGTTCTATGATATATAATTTTGTATAGTGATAAAAATGATCTAATAAGAGTTTTAAAACGAATTGCGACCCAAAATACCATACCAACTAAGTTTACCCTCATCATATTGCGCACCCGCACCCGCACCCGCACCCGCACCCGTGTCACCTACCAAAACGACCCACGATCCATATAACATCTGAACTTCTTTGTGAAGAGCAAGCTAACTTCCAAATCATTGATTTGTTTGTTGTTAGCTCAAATTAAAAGCGAGTGTTATTAAGAATACAATAGTAAAAACATGAGCAAATATACCAGTATGAATAAAGTTAGAAGAAAAGTTAGAAGATGAGGCAGGATTAAGAGTTGTAGTAGAGCAAACATTAAAACGAGTCATCGGACGCCCAAGGGTCTGCATCTCATCTTGAGAGACATTAGAGGGAGCAGACTGAAATGGAGTCTCGAAGAGTTAGTCATGTGTACATGGGATTGCATATTACCCCCTCCAAGGCCGCCACCACAACAACCAACTTAGCCACTTGAAGGACGTTCAGTCAACTTCTAACAAAACTCTCTAGTATGTCTAGTCTTCCCACAATAGTCACACTTTTAAGGTATCCTTAGCAACAATGCTACTTGTCTCAGTAGACTTGGGCAAGACTATGCTCAAGTTATGCTAACGAATAACAGCCAATGCAAACTGTTCCTAAGTAGGAACATAAATCATGGCAATCCACCGGCTCTCCTCCTGCTGAACATGAGCATAGGCGTTTCATAAAATGAAAAATGGATTAAGACTGAATCCCAATCTGATCATACTCCATATTAAAACCAACAAGAAAGTCATACACCCATTCTTTTTTCATCATCTGCTAAAATTTTATAGCCTTATTAGTACAATTTTCCTAGAACCTCTTATAGTAATCAAACTTTTACCATAAGGTAGTCAACTCTGTATACTACATTGCAAACGTCTTATGTCTCTAGTTAGTCTCTTGAACTTTCTTTTAAAGGTCATATGTCTTAGGATTGTTGCCCCTTTGAGAATATGGGACTCTCAGTAGACCAAATTCAATGGGTTGTATCTCGGAAGCGTGAACACTTCATTTTGGGCAGAATGTCGATGTCGAACACGTCTGGGACACGGACACTTTTCGGATACGCTCGGACACATGTCAAATACGTTAAAATGAGTGTCCAATTTTTTTATTGTTAAATTTTTTTTAGTACACATTTTGGACACGTTGAGGACACGCGACCAACATGTTAGGACACGATAGAGGACACGTTTTGAGATTTATTTTGAATTTTTTGAGAACTTTTCTGATAATTTTATAATTAAGACTTATTTTATAATTTGAAAGGGATATGAGTCACAATCATAATATAAAAGAAGTTATAATCATTATATTGAATATAAGGCATGAATTTAACATAATTTTAGATACGAATACGAACTTATATACGAATGAAATCGCCTTTTAATATAACAGTAATATGAGAAAATATGGGATTACAAAATTGGGACTCTTGGAATTTGATGAAAATTAGTATTACGAAATGAAATATTTTTGAAAGTAAAAGTTGTAGAAGTCATTAATTATTGAATTATAGATGTTAATGTTGAATGTGTATCACTATATCTTATATTGTACTTTTTATGCAGTAATATCATAATATGAATTTTTAGAATTAGAGAAATAATGAATTAAAAGATTATTATGATAATATTTTTATTTTATCACATGATTTTATATAAAATATATATATATATATATAAAATATATATTATTTAACGTATCGCTAACATGTCCGTGTCCTACTTTTTTGAAAAAATTCGTGTCAGTGTGTCCGCGTCGTATCCATGTCCCGTATCAGTGTCAATGTCCATGCTTCTTAGGGTTGTATCAAGTAACAGAAAACCACGACTAATAGAGGGTTGCATTGAATTGAACAACCAAGACATGACTAACGCATTGTCAGATGTCCACAGCTTTAGGGGAGAACCAAGTTCACTAGGCTTCTTAACCTCGCCATTCAAATATCCATCCAAAGATATAGCTTGGATCGACAACAAACAGACTCGTGATCATGCCTGATAATTGCTCCTATCTAGCTTTTATGGACTAATTTGGGGAGAGGTGTTGTTTGCAAGAACCCCTAAACTGCTCAACCTAGTTCCTCTGGTATGTCCTCTTGTATTAGTAGAGGTCACATTAGCTTCAATCATGTTCACGGAATAGAATCACAACAAAATTGCAGCGAACATCAAAATCACTGCCTAAATAATTCCACCATAACCAGAAAATTCCTCCAACAGCCGTCAAATATTTTCTGTGTAACAATTAGAAGGAAATGAGGTCAAATTTGGTTATTGCGCAATATTCGAAATTGGAGCAAGTCGCAGAACAGTGAAGACAGTCACAACCGGGGTCAAAAAAGCCACAAATCCTCATGGGCATTGTAGATCAGCCCTAGTGGCATCCCAAGCTTTTTCGTTAATCCCTTCGATTTGGATCATTACTCTGATACCAAGTTAAGTTAAAGTCATTAGGGTTTTGAGAGAGAGAATAGGAGAAAAAGAAAAAGATTATCAAAATAGGGTAACGTGTTAGGTTACACAACTATACCTTATACACACACACACACACATACAAAGTACTAAAATACCCTTATTTAAGAAATAACATAACGTAACATTCTCAATTCAACTAGCTACCATGAGAAAATAGGACTAATAAAATATTAGGGGGAAGTAGAAAACCATGTATCCTCCCCCGCAACAAATCTCTTCTTAAACCTTTCAACCAACAAAACGAACAATGATATCACGTTAATAGGTGAACTCAAAGGAAGATCAAAGTTGAAGAAGAAAATCAAACTTAAAAGGCCATAATCTTTTACACTATTGAAGTTTCGAAACTCAAGTTCAAATATACTCATTACATGAGAATGGAGAGAAAAGAAATCAGTAACAAACTACGTGCACTGAAATAAATACAAAGCCAATACATACAGAGTTCGCCATCAAAAAATCCATAGCCTCAAAAAAATACACAAAAAATAGCTTAGACTCATTACCGGTCGATACTTTGCCCCTTTGCTGGCAGTAGTCCCAGATGACCCAATATAATCAATTCCATTCAGCCAGTGGCTATGGAAACCTACAGCAACCATCTCAGCCCGTGAAAAAAACTGATGCCCAACATCAATCCCTGCTATGACAAATTCAAGTTCAATATTCCCTAGAAATTATTTCTTGCAAGTATAGCATGTCTTCATCTCTATATTCATATAATTCAACTTTAAAAATGTAGCTAAGTTAAATAGTGCTCTAATGGATTAAAACTGAAAACTACCCACCTGGAATGGAGCCAAATCTTTTTTCGGGGTGTAATATGGCATTTGTCTCCATCATCTGCCAGTTTTTAGCTTATTAAAAAGACAATAACAGTTATTGAACTTAATCAGCATTGTACCTAAGAACATGGAATGGACAACTTCATCTAGCTATGATGAAGAAGAGAAATACTTCTACGAGTCACATAATCATACCAAGAAAAGAATACAATATATGGCAACTCCAGCTTTCTGGTTTATCCAAATAACTTAATCGAAATTAAATTTATACACAAGTATATGACTGTCGAACAACTAATAAAGCATTATATTGAGGTGGTTAGTTAAGGCACACGAATATAACACGACACAACCCATGATGGTGAAGGAATTATCACACAGAGTGAGTAAGATGGCCCATCGCAGTTATTATCCCAAACCTCAACTTAAGCTTCCAAAACAAGTCATTAGACTCCATTCATGTTAGATAAACCCTATTGACCATAAAGCAAAATAATTAAAACCTAGATGAGGCAGATTTCAGAAGAATATACCACAAGCTTAGGACCAAGAACTGGAACAACAGAGTGGTAAATAGAGGGGGGAAAGTGAAACATTATAATAAGCCAGAACTCTAGAAATGGGAGGGGGAAGTGCAAATAGAATACTACCAGTGGTACAGTTAGCCCATCAAAGAGCGACTTGCCTTGGTTATTGCCTTCAGATCAGGTCTCCTGGAATCCCGTTTAGCAACACCTTCAGCTGTTTCCCCTCTCTGCAAAAGTTTCTACATCAATGGAGTCCAAGAAAAGCTAATGAAAAGGAACTTTCAAAAAATCAATATATTATTTGCTTCCTTAGTTGAGAACTACCGCCGCAAAATACAAGAGATAATTCTGGAAATAATATAGATAATAACAAAATCTACTTCAGTTATGTTGACCATTCAATTAACAACTAACTCCTCTACAATCTTAACCTGGCACAGTGGAGGTTTGATAACATATATCGAGACATCCTCTCAAATGTCACTTCTCTTTAATGGGCCATCCATCCGAACAAATTATTTATCATTAGGGGAGAGGATGTGATGAGATTCAAGCCCAGCTTATCGAAAAAAGATTCAAGCACAGGACCTTCCAGCTTGAATACACAAAAAGGAAAAGAAAAGAAACAACAAAATTCCTCTGAAACTTCAGCTCGATAAAAAAAATTATTACAGTGCATTTCAACACGTGCATGTCAATCTATAGCTATTTGCAAGGCAGCAACAGTTCCAGCCATGCTTTTTAGGTGGCATAATTTCAAAGAGTTGTAAAAATAGATGTCAACCTATGAATGTAAAAAAAATCTAGATGTGGATATGGATGTTTGAACAAACAGAACATCCATCAAAATTGAAAGTAAAAAGAATTTCAGGAAAGTTGTGTTAGCAACAATTGAAATGAGGAAATAAACAAGAATGTAGCCTTATGATATGACCTTACGCAAGACATAAACAAGGCATTCAAATTAAATTAAGATATAGTAAGGCATTGTTTCAACTCCAACAAGATCAAACAAATGATTATTTCTGTTGACTTCCACTTCACACAAATGCAATTATAAAGATGAATCATAAGAATGATCTTTCAGTGGACATAGTATAGGAGCTACAGTAAACTACATAAAATCAAACACTACACGATCTGATAATATAAGCTAGAAGACAATACTTACTCTATTCTGTTTCGAAAAACAAAGATACAGAGAAAAACCCAAAAAAAAAAAAAAACAGTCAGCTTCATGCAGCAAATTATCAAACTTTTGAAAAGACCTGCCTTTACAGGACATCATGCCCCAAGAACATGAGAAATTAATTTGGTCAAATCTAAGGGATTTGATACACTATAGCTTACTAAAATTGACTAGGTTGCCCAGTTCATTAACCTAGAATCAACTAGTATTTCATACAAAATATAACTCATGCATGCACACTTGCAGGAATTTTTTAGGAACATTGCTTAGCTGACTTAAAACTGATAGCCCCTTCAATAGTATAGCAGTAATATGAGAAATGCCACTCTTTTCATTTAAAAAATTAGTAAGAAAATGCATATGGGAGAAGTAGTTTTCAAAAGCATAATTTACTAAAACAATTTGTACCCAGCTCCAAAGAATTAAGCAAAAGTGACACCTTTCTACACACCTTTCGTCCAATAAAACACCCATTTTCTATAGAGCCATCCTTGAAGTCCAATTACTTCCCCAAAATAAACTTTGAAGTCCAATTCAACTGCTAACAATGAACTTATTACACTTCATTCTGAGGAAGAAGCAATTAGTTAGGAACACTAACAGAATAGAGCTTTGCATCTCCATAGAACCAGCACCAATGTTTCTCCTTAAAACTATTAGAAAATATAAACTACCAAAGCAAGAATACAAATCACAATATATTTTTCGATAAGAAACAACATTATATTGATTAAAAAGAAAATTACTCCACTTCTCATAAAAACGATTTTGTGTTAAGGTTCTTCTATCTACCTCTCCCACATGCATGTGAGGATTGCACACGAAAGAGAGTGTTAGAGCTTGTCCCACACAAGGATCAAAATTTTATTTTCAAATAGCTAAAACATTTCCGTTTTCAAGTAGACCGAAATGAATCAATGATAAAATCCACATTCCAATGTTTCAAGATATTTCAGAATGTTTTGAGGTGTTTCACTATGTTTTCACCCATCTCGAAATGTTTTGAAGTATTTCAAGAGATTTCTGTATATTTGCATCAATGTTTCAGAATGTTTTGAAAATAAATTTTCAAATTTTCTATTCATTTCCAAAATATTTTCGTTTTTTAGTAAATGAAACAATGCGTCAAAACAAAATTTTGATCATTGGTCCCTCATCGATATAATAATGCTTCCCAAATAAGTACATGGCACTTTTGAGTCCCTCCGGTCATTACCGGTCAATTTTAAGTTGGATACTTCAACAAAAAACAAAGAATGTTCCAACTTAAGGAAAGAGATGTACTAATGTAATCGATCATCATCAACTGTAACCTTCCGTAAACAACACTCTACACAACATGGCCATGTATTCGCCCATTGAACCACTAAAATTGCTTCTTATAGTTGCACGTGACAAGGCCAACATATATTACTTCGATCATCAACTCATTCTCCTGAAACTTCTCATAAGCATCCATTTCTTGTCCTATCATGTCTTGTTTTAACAATGATCCTTCCAACATAGTCTCCGCCAATTTAACAGACGAACAATGATAAAAATATCCAAACTGAAAATATGAAGCATGATAGCTTTACAATTCTTTTAAAAAGATCCTTTAATTAAATTACCTACCAGTGCTTTCATAGCATTCAAAAGCTACATCCAACAAGAATTTTAAGGTACACAACATCTTCAATCCTTTTTATTTTATTTTTAGTAACTCAAGCCCATCTAAACAATATCCCAAATGCTTAAGCCAATTTCTTTTTGGAAGTTTAACACCATATCTAGTATCTATAAGAATAAACATACACATAGACCCTAAGTCTTGTATTACTTTATTTAACTAAGCAAAAATCTAATTCATTTAACTTAAACCCAACAACATTAGATTTCTTAGTACAACCTTGACAAGTGCCAGTGCAAGCAAACTCATATCACATTGGTCTCTAAATATGGCCTCTACAAGATATACTAGAGTTTCCATTGATTGTAAATGCATGAACTCCACATCTAATGCGTCAATGACGTTAAACTTAATTTAACCTTCAGTGTATCAAGGACATAGAAGTTAAGCATACTAACATGCAGTATATCATTGGTCCAACTACAATAACATGAAACTCAAAGCACATTAATTCAATGACACATCAATCACCAAATAAATCAAATCAGTTCCAATGGCCTTCCAGCAGCAAAACCTTTTTCCCCACCTGTTGCTTATAGTACCCATAAAGCTCCAATGCTATATCCTTTTCATTGTACGATTATTGAAGCATCGCTTTGATTGTCAGTGCATTGAACCTCATAAGATCAACCAAGTGTAGACACTCACAAAATATATGAAATCGAGAATATGAAGTAGATAGAATTGCAGAATTTCACTTAAAACACCAACAGTTTGTTAAGGACAACCAAAAGATGGTGCAAACGTAGCAACCAGAAGTTTATCAGTAATTTCACTTCTCCACTTCCAGACCACATACGAAAAAACAAACATCAAACATTAATCTGCTAAATATGCACAAATTTGAACAAAACATAAAGGACAATCCTCTAAATTCCCTTCATACAAATAAGCGCATGTCTATGCTATCTACGTGCATGTTTGTGAAGGGCTCAGTGGCTTGAAAATGAGTGTGTATACAATGCATGCACCTTCTTCCAAAAAGAAAAGGAAAAAGAATGCAATGACTGATGCAAAATAAGAATAAGGAGAATAGATGTGCAACATACAATTAGTGTGCACCACTATGAGCAATGGTGGAGCTAGCAATTTATTTTTGGGTGGGCCCTTTAATTAAAAGTTCTGTTTTATTTTTCTCCAAACGATAAAACTAAAATTGATGTATCTACATGCATAACAGTGTATATGATACTTAGTGATTTGTTAAAGACAAAAAAGAAAAAAAAATCAAAAGCCAATATCATAAAGTGAGAATCATTACGACCATCTATAATTTACTCTGATTGGTTTTCATATTTTGAAAGGTTTACATTATTACGTCATTATCATCATTGAGAATGTCTTTCTCCAAGTAAACCAAGCTATCAGTATTCCATTGATGACCCATTGGCTTAAGTAAATGATTCTTCACAATCTTCAATTTATAATTAAATATTCCTACCATTATCATAAAGATATTAAACTAAGAAAACCATAAAACGAAAATTCAATAAATGAGCAAGGCAAAAACATTTGAACCAAGTTGGAATAGAGTAATCAAGAGTCATATGAAAATAGAGTCGAGTTGCAGAAAAATAGAAATATAGGTTAATTGCGAGCAATTTCCCATTCATAAGAGAAGATTTAAGGACAATTGCAGCAAATCCTAATATGATAAAACGCACTAAAAATACGATTACACGTCAATATCATTATATATTTATAATATTCAAACGACAGAATGGGCCAGGGGATTGGTGGCCATGCCGTGAGTGTGACATCTTCATGAGCGAACTAACCTGGACGAAATGCAGGTAATGTTTGTTAAAAATCCTCAAAGTCTCCGTAACCATTGCACAAGCACTTTTGTCAGAGCCTGCCCCGTCCTCTGTAACCTCTTTCAAACCAATATTCGTCTTCCCACGATTCTCCATTACAGCACAATCCTTAGCCTCATTTGACCCTAAAACCTCGGTCTGAACCTTGGACCCTCCAATTTCAGCAACGTCAGAACCCACATTAGGCGTGTCGACCTTTCTTCTGCTATACACTCTGGTCCTCTTTAGAACAACTCTATCTTCCTCATGATTCAACAATTCTTCTCTCTTACCAACTCGGAGAGCCTTTTCGGTCTCCAGTTTTTTTATCCTCGCACTCGTCCTTCTCACGCTCGGTGATCTGTCCGAATTCCTATTATCCACTCCTTTGCAGTTCATTCCTGGATTATCATCAATCGAAACAACTCCAGCGTCGAGAGCAGCACTATCAACCGGATTAGAACTTTTTTCCGTGGAAACAAGTGACTGAACCACCATCGTGGACCTCGAGAGCTACTAATCACGCTTGGTGGGATGTGGAGTGAGATCGGCGGAGGGGGGAGGAAGGATGTGTAAGAACATGTTTTGTCCGTCCCGCAAAGATGCGATCTGAAGTGTGGTTTGCTGGGCCGAGGCAATCCGAGATGTAAGAGATGAGTTTGATATGGAGCTTATGGCCTGTTGGTACCTGCCAAATAAGGAGGTGGCTGCGTGGCAACTATGTGGTGCTAGCCACTCGCACCATTGTAAAAAAAATTTTACTTTTGAAAATAGTTTCTAGAATAAAAGTTATTTGGCTATTTATTATTTTTTTTAAAAAAAAATTGAGAACAAAAATTTGACAAATTTATAGAATATAATATTAATGATTGATTAAGTCAATAAATCAAGTCAAGATTTAAAACTCTGTTTGGTTTGCATCTCAAAAAAGTATCCAAAAATTAATTTTGAAAAGTGTTTTAAAAATTATTTTTGGTATTGTTTATGTCACAGAATTTACTTGATTATATGATTCCAAAAATAATTATATAAAATAAAAAGCATTAAAACTTTTTCAGACAGTATCCTATAAAATAATAAAAAGCATTTAGTTTTTGTAATTGAGCAAATTAACAAATCATGTCAATATTTTAAATCCAAAATATTGACATGATTTCTCTTGAGAAGATTATAAAGAAGTGTGCGTGCAGGATCTTACACAATATAAACACGAGAACAGATCTCTTCCTTGGTGAACTCGAGTGAGTCAGTCGAGTGGTCAACCCTACTGCTTGGAACAGCCTGTGAGGTCCGGTGGTAACCTGGAACGATAATGGAAGACCCTCATGGATCAGCGGAACGATCCAATAAGGCTGAGGAAGGTTCCTGGAACAAAGAAAGACAAGTTAGAAGGGCGCCTGAGTGTTTTCCGGCGTATCCCCTCCGACGATCAAGTCTGTTTTTGAAAGAGAGGAAGAAGAAAACACTGAGTATATGTTTGAAAAAAGGTTTCACCTCTCTTTCTTGCCTTTTGTGAGGAGTATTTATACCTCAAATACTCATGATTGTTGTCAGTGTGGTCAGTAGGTGATCATTAGATACGGACAACATGTGCACTGATTCCTATGAAGAATGTCTTCTCTTTTAACTGCTCGGGATGCCGAGCAACCAAAGTTGTGTCATCGGTCTGCCGACTGTTTAATGAGCTCCTCTCGGCAAGGAAGTAATAAATGTCCAGCCTTAGGAACATTTATTACTTTTCACTTCCGAGTCTTACCGCATTAAATGTTGTCTCATCAAGGGAATGGTGTAATTAAGTGTTTGTTTTCTCAAGTCGTGTGTCAGCAAGGGCATCTGGTCTTTTTGTCTCTGATGTGACACAATAGAGAACGTCATCCCAGACGGGTACATCTCGGTACCGAGGGGGAGTGGTACATGTAGGGATCGATATACCCCTATCGACCCGAGGGATATGTGTCGGTATGTAACGTACTGGATGTCATTGATCCTTATGAACAGTACCTCGGGGGAACAGGGATTTTGTGATCCGATTGGTACGTGTCGTGTTTATAGGAAAAAAATTTACTGATGCCGAGGACACGTGTCTTCATCTTAGAGTACTTGAAAATGTTCCATCAAGAAGAAATCAGCAAATCATGTCAATATTTTAACTAAGACAGTGCAGGGTCCTTCTAGCAGTGGTTTGAGGCTTACTGCAAGCCATTGGTTCCCTCAACGTCAGTCGGACCAAGAACAAAATGGTGATGACGTAACTTTGTTTTGCTGTGATGTAAACAAACAAACAGGCTGGCCAACGAATTGGTTTGTTGTTGTTCTTTTTCTCTAGATATATGTTCAATTGAGAATACTTTAAACATGTCGAAAGAAATCAAGAAATAACATGCCCAAACTTTGATGATCGGATGACACATGGACAATTAACAAATATGATAGTGTAATATAGATCAACCCATGTTAGGAAAAAACATGTAATTGGCGAATTTCATGAATTCGCTATATATCTTATATCTCAATTATATCTATGTTCAAGAGGCTATTGAAGATTGAAGACCAAAATAAGATAAGGTGAATAAGCTCAAACTACATTGCTATACATGTAAAGACTTACTAGATCCTACCGAGCTTAGGTAAGGTAGGTTTGACCTGGATACTTAGATTCCCTAAGGTTTAACTTAAATTGTAAAATTGAATTTAGAGTGAGTATTTAATTTGTTCATTACTCGTGTGTTTTGATGTAAAATTTTATTTAAATTTTAGAGTTTTAGTTTTCAAAAACGGTTATTGAAATTAGGGGTGTCAATCGTATCGTGTCGTGTCTGATCAGTTTCGTGTCGTGTTATTTTCGTTTTGTATCACTTTCGGTACGTGTCAGATTCGTGTTAATAAAAAATTATTTAATTTGATAACAACTAATATAATACTATTTAAAAATTTATAAAATTCTTATTTTATATATATAATATTCGTTAAATAATTATTTTTTATCTACAGTATTCATTAATCGTGTTATTCGTGTCGAACCTTAATTTGACCCATTTATTATTCGTGTCAACTAATCATGTTATTTTCGGGTTTGTGTCGGGTTCGGTTTTGAGTCGGGTTCGTGTTAACGAAAAAAATTGACACCCCTAATTAAAATAAGTCATTAGATGAAAGTTTTCTAGGTACACCTCTCGGTACTTAGAGGGTTATTTTAGAGCCTTGATTTTTTTCGAGTAAACTAGTTGATAGCATTCTCTGTGTGCTCTCAGGACATAAGACATCGAGTAAAATTGGGAAATATGATTCTAGTAGGCCATGCCCTTGAGCTCTTGCTTCAATGCTCGAGCACTGCCCTCAAGTTGACTATATTTTTGGTTTTTTAGTAACCAATGCCCTATAATTGCTCTCCACAAAAGCTCAAACATAACATCGCAGACAGATTTCTAAATTCGCCTAACTACCTCTTATTTTTTATTCTTACATATAGAGAACGACCTTTGTGACATGTTGACGAGACAAATGAGTTATATAAAGAGACTATAGGGTTAAGAAAGGCTACTCACTCAAGATAAAACATAACCTAAACAATATCAAAACCCGATTCATTTAAGATCAGCAAAAAATCTTGTAGAGAATTTGAGCATCTATTGTTGAGGATGTTGAACACCATCAAACCCACAAAAAATGATACAAGGAAGGGACTCAAGTATCAACGAGAGGATTCCAAAGAAAAAGAAGAATGATTTTAAGTGATAGATTGTGGATCTCGATTTGTTGCCTTCAAAGATAGTTGTATAGATGATTACGGTGAATTTCCAGAGTAGAGATTTAAGAATATACAATTTATAATGGATATTATGTTAAGTCATGTTTGAGATGAGTCTCACACATGCAACACAACTCGAGCTTTCACCGACTACCATAGCACATGTAATGTCAAGTGTATGAATCTGGGCATTCTAAGTTCCTCGTCATTGATGTTACACATCTAATGATCATTATAAATTCCAAGTTCTTCTTGGGTGGGTATTTATGGACTTCCAGTAACGGGCATCAATCAACATGACATTTATGGATTTCCACCAACTGTCCCGCATACGTCAACACACTTTATAGACTCAATACCAACGGAGTGCGTTTCTAAATCACTTGGTCTTGCACTCGAGGGACAATCTAGTCCTTCTTGCTAACTCTAACCCTATTTTCAATGCAAAATCGTACAATTCAGTCGAATTTTGGTTCAACTTTCCTGAGCCCACGTATCATCTACCAAGAATGGTGTTTGATCAAAACTATATACACACACCCACACTCATGTCATATGCCCACAAATGTGATGTTACCCGTGCATATGAAATGTTATGTACCATTGCATTTCATATCATTATGCAACCAAATTTTCAATTGTAATATCAACATCATGAGCACAATATGAACAACATTTCATCTCAACAATATTCTCAATTGTCAATTTATATCATATGCATATAAATTACAATCTATATTCTCACCAAACATGTTATAACATTTTCAATGGAGTAACTATGCTAAATCAACCTAGGCATTTTATCAAACACTTTTATATCACATAATAACGTAACACATAATTATGTCCAATCAACACATTTCTTATAAAATTATCAAAATAAGCAATTTCACTCAAAACCCAATTCATACAAAAATTGGTTTTATACATTCTTATACATTTCTCATACTCTAGTTACACTAGAAATATATTTAGATAAGAGATTTCATCTTAAGTCATGTTACTCATTTCATATGAAACCCTAAGTTAAAAATAAACCTAATTAGGAGAAAAAAAACCTATTTCTTGAAGCATAATACACAAAGTAGGAAGCTCCCAAAAACCCAAACCAAGTGTCAAGCCTTGATTTCCAAAAATCCCATCTTTGAGACTTTATTAAAATCCTAGATTTTTGGTACGTAGATGTAACTCTTGTCGAGTAGATGAACTTTGGTTCTTAGCCCAAAGGATTTCAATCAAAGGTTGACCCTAAATTGTAGAGAGAATATGAACAACCCTTGATTTTTTCCCTCCCCTCTTCCCTTCTCTTTTTCCAAAAATTCCAGCAGCCACCATGAGGGAAAAATCTGGGGCCTGTTTGGTTTGCATCTTAAAAATAGTGTCCAAAAATAGTTTTTAAAAATTTTAAGAAAGTGTTTTTGAAAATTTTTATATTGCAAAACCTATTTGGTTTTATATTTTTGAAAATAGTTTTAAAAAATTGTAAAATTTGTTTAGGCAATAACCCACAAAACTCACAATTTTTCATCTCTATCTTTCTTTCCACTCTCTCTGTCTTCACAAACCCTCCCCCACACACACAAACATAAACAGATACACACACACACACACACACACCCATACACATAGATATGAGCATGACGGAGAAGACGAACACAAATCCAAAATCTAAAATCCAAAATCCAAGATCAAACATACACAGCCTCTGGTACACGTCGAAAAGCCCTCAGTCAACAGAGAAGACGATGAA